CTCACCAATTCCCTTCTGTGCCCCCGTGATGAACTTATAGGCAGCCACAAGGTCACCTCTCAACCTTCTCTTGCGGAGGCTGAAGAGGTCCAGGTGCCCCAGTCTCTCCTCGTAGGGCTTGGTCTGCAGGCCCTTAACCATACGAGTGGCCCTTCTCTGGACCCTCTCCAGGTTATCCGCATCCCTCTTGAAGTGCGGCGCCCAGAATTGCACGCAGTACTCCAACTGCGGTCTGACCAGCGCCCGATAGAGGGGAAGTATCACCTCCTTGGACCTCTTCGTCATGCATCTGCTGATGCACGATAAAGTGCCATTGGCTTTTCTGATGGCTTCGTCACACTGCCGACTCATGTTCATCTTGGAGTCCACTAGGACTCCAGATCCCTTTCCATTTCTGTGCCTCCAAGCAGGTCAACAGGTTGGTTGAGCATTGGAAAAGATTACCTAGAGAGGCTGAGGAATCTGTCATTAGAAGTTTTTAAGCGCAAGTTAGATAAATATTTGTCTGAGATGTGTTACACAGAGACAATCCTCCCTTGAGCAGGGATTTGGTCTTAATGATTTGGAGACTTCTTGCAGGCCTATTTTTCTATGATTTTATGAATCATGATCTAAACGCTCTTTCTGTAGACCAGTGGAAGGAAAAAAAACCTGTCCAACAGCATCTCAAATGTCACTTCCTACCTGTTTCTACAGCTTCCCTGACCTCTGTGAGCAGCTGGAAACATTAGTTGGTTTAGATCAGTAACAGCCCATTTCATTATGGGCCTCTTGGGTCCTCTTCCTGGTAGAATCAGCTGTTTCTGCATTCTCAAGAGGTTGGGCGAAATCTCTGATGCAACTTTAAAGCCTCATCAGTGTAAGTAACATGCTTCTGTGATATTTTATGGATTTAAATTAGACTGAAAATACCTCTGAGGAATGAGATTGCCTGTGACTTAACCACGTAACATCTCAGGGTACAGACAAGGTAAGATAAACCACAGGGTTTAGCAACAAGAAGAGCAACCAAGAGAGCTAAGGGAGGAAGTGCTGAGCTGTCCCCGCTCCCTGGAGGCAGTGGTTCAGGAGTACCATGGAGCTCTGCCATTGCCTAGTGACACACCCACAGGGACTTCTACACGTGCACTGCGTAGTGGTGAATGAAACGGTGTTCTCCATGTCGAATTCACCCTGTGGCCACCCTCTTCCACCCCACCCCCCACACCCATTTTCAGAAACTGCCATCACTCTGATTCAGTACCTGCCATTGTCTTTAGCAGCAAAGGCACGTATTACCCACCCTCCAGTGCCAACCTGAGACAAACCCCACTCATGTATGCTCAGTGGGAAGTGACTGTTTGGTTTTGCATATTCATAAGTGAGGCTTGTACTTCAAGACTACAATAAGCAGCCACGTAAGAGAAAAGGCAACAGTGCCAAGCAGGAAGATCTGCCGGCAGCCGCGCCTGTCCATGGAGAAGGGGAGGGAAGGAGCTCACTCTTGTGGCTGAAATGAGGAGCTGTCTCCAAACAGAAGTCTAGTCCTGAGAAATGACTAAGTGGTGGTGAACAGCCAGGTCAGTATTGCTGCTGTCCCTGCTATCTGCCTTCAGCGTCTCACCCCTGTTGCGTACGAGCAAAACTCCAGCTGGACAATCGGCCAGAGGTTTTTGTCTGAGCTTAGATGGCCCAGTGCTGCACACGGGTTTGACCCTGCAGGCCAGACGCATGGCACAGAGCTGGTCTGTGGGCCAGGTCAGGCCCCACATCGCCCCCCTGCAGTAGGATCAGGCCCTGGGGCACCATGCTGCCTCCACCCAGCCAGAGCCCAATCCTGGCTGGGCAGGGAGAGCACAAGCCCCTGGAGCCTGATCCTGGCCAGACAGGGACAGTTTGGGGCCCCCAGAGCCTGATTCTGGCATGGGGGCTGGGTGGAGGCAGCACAGGGCCTCCAAGGGCCTGATCCTCACCAGGCAGTGGCAGCACAGGACTCCACCTCACCCAGCCAGGGTTCGGTTGCATGCCACCCCCATATGCTGGGATCATGCCTGGCATGCCTGATCTAGCACGCCGGGCCACGGCCTGCAAGTTCGCAACGGGATCCCCATGGGGCAGAAAACAGTGCCAGGGGCCAGATCTGGCCCATAGGCCAGGGGTTAAGTACCCCTGATTTAGCTCATTCTGGCATGTCACTGATAGCAGCAAGCACCACCGCTCCTCCTGCCCTTCCAACTGGCTCCTTCATCTCGTCCTGACTGTGAACAGAGAAACACCTGCCATTTCCAGTGCCAGGCCTGCGTGTTCCCCTGGAAGTGGAAGGTCCCAGTAAGACACGGTGTTGCACGCGTCTAGGTCCAGCTCTTTCTCCCCATTCCTGCATTTCCCTCAGCTGCCTCCTAGATCAGACTCAGCTACTAGCTTCACTCATTTCAAGAGTTCTCCATTTTCTCGGGGAAGCAAAAAGGCAATTAAATAAGATACGTTTAAACTCTTTAAAATGTTCAAGTGGCCACAGGTCATGTTGTGAAGGTGAGAGTTAGTGTGTCAGCAGAGAGCAGTTCTGTCACAATTTACCAAAAATCCTATGGAATCAGCATTATAAAAAAAACCCTAAAAGAAATCTAGCTTGTGTTCCTGAAATAACTTCTTATCTCACTGCTTTAAATTCTAAAACGTAAAGATGATGGCGTAAATGTCAAGATTGACTCTTTTATTGATGATTATTTTAGCAGATGATTTGAGAAAGGGGGGTAGAAAACTGGAGATTGATAAAATAGAAAAAATGAGAAGGGAAGCGGGAAGGCAAGAGACAGAAGAGAGGGTAGGAGAGGAAGAGTAACCAAGGTAGGGGTCCCAAAGAGTGGCTAATTTTCCCATCAAGCAGTGCTGAAGTTGGTAATAGGGCACTTAAGTAATAAATAACAATAACTAATGGCCAGGTTTTCAGTCACGCAGCAGCACCTATGGAAAGCATTCAGAGATGCTAGGTAAACTGCTTAAAATCTGGCTCTAGATATTTTGCTACCTCTCATCTGGTGACCATTTCAGCTGTACAAGTTTGAGAAATGTATAGAAAGTTTGGACTTTGAACAGTTATTATATATCCAGAATAAAGTATAGGAGTGCTGGACTGACATAGAAATACAGCCTGCACTGACGCTACCTACTTGGTTTTAAAGTGGAGCACACAAAGCAGTAAGAACCTTAATTTATACTGATCCACCACCCACGCTGAGGCCTTGCACCATCCAAAGACCGCTGATAGACAAACCTTGTAACCACGGCCATTCTCCTTCCACCCCTCTCTGGCAGACGACGTCCCTTGCTTCTTTGTCAGGAACATTTTTCAGCCTGTGAAGCTGAGGAGCATGCAGCTGGGGTAACCCATTGGGGACTGGGTTAATGGAAAAACAGCAGCACGACTGTTATCTGCACTACGGTGGGATGAAAAAAAGTGAGATGTACAATTTCAATAAAAAAATTAAATGTTTTGGTTAAAAATGTGTTTAATGCATCAGTCTTCTCTACCTCTCTCTCTAACTTTTCCTTCCTCTATCCTCTCCCAGATTTTCTTCCTCCTGCTTCTGCCCCGTTCTCCTCCCTCAGTCCACTCTGCTCCCATCCCCCTGCTCTCCTCCCAAAATCTCTTTGCCTCACTCTTTCTCTCTTTCAAGTTAAACCGTTATGTAAGTAACAACAGTGACAGATATAGAGGAAACTACCTTTTATCCTCATTTTTATCTCGTGCCTCGGACTCTCCTGAGAAAAGAGATGGGACGAGCAGAACACCGGGGTTCAGTCAGGGAACTTGGGATCTGAAAAGGCATAAGAATCAGGGGCTGTACTGGGGGGCTCTCAGCAGTGTGGCAGCAGCTGCTCAGACTCTGGACCCGTTCCCCAAATGGACAAATCCACAAAGTGAGGTGGTCTGGTGAAAACAGCTGCCATGCTCCTTTTTAAAGCATAACTCCAATGAGCAATTGTTTAGCTCTGATGTGTTAAGACTAGTCACTGGCATGCTCCTGTAAATCTTGACTGGGACACAACCCACCCAAGCTGAGATGCAACAGATCCAAAACAAGCACTAGAACAAGCAATGATCCCCAAATCCCCGTGTTTCTAACAGGCACCTTTTGAGAGAGAGTTTGACAGCGCTGCCTAGCTCAGCCCCATAAGGCACCTGGCACTGCACAATCCTGCACGGTACTTTGAAACCCATGTCACAAAAAAGGAGACTGTCACCTTGGAGGGAGCCAGCAGCACACTGGTAAGGCAGGTCAAGAACTACACCACCGACACACAGCAATGTTGGCTGAAGCACAAGACAATTAATCAGAAAGTCAGGGGTTGCTGTATGCACTAAACAAATACTACAGAGATAATGACAAACAAGCATAGAAAAGACATTTTAAAAATTAAATCTTCATGTTTTAATCTTCCTGCTGGAGCTTTCAACACCACGTGCCTTTACCTTCAAGATTCTTCACCAAGCATCTGGTTCTAGTCTCCCTCTCCCCCGGTATTTCCAGACCTTTGCCTAGAACCTGCAGCAAAAACCCCCTTTTCCTCTTGCCTGCATTTGCTTTCCCCTCGTTGGATATACTTCTCCTCTTCTACCTTTTCTTCCTTCCTCTTTCTTTCACTACAAGATAAGGAATTGTGTTTTAAAGTTGGTATGTGTGTATTTTGTATCTCCCCTTGTAGTTTGGTATTTTTATCTATTTGTGTGCCATGGCATTACTCTTGTAGCTTATATTTTATACTCTTCACCTTTTAACTAAATGTGTTTTACACCCTTTTAGTTTTAGAAGTAAGTGATATACTGTAACAATGTTAACAAGGGTAGGAATCAAACAGCTTCCCTGTATCAGGCGGGCCCCTGAGTGAATCAGTGATTGAATGCATAACACAGTAGCAGGTGGCAAATAACATCCAGGGAAGCTGCAGATCAACCAAGGGAAGAAATCAATAGGAGACAATGTAACAACCGGGCAATCTCTAAACCTCACTGATCAAGGGCTAGAAGCCCTGGCCTGAGTTAATCAACACCAGGGGACCAACTTTTGGGCTGAATATCTCCAGATCGACCACTCCCAGAGCCCGCTTCAAAATGCATCAACGGACCCCCAAACCTGCACATACATGCGGACGACCCCTGGGGCTGACAGATGCCGTCCAGTAGCCACCGAGGGGGAAGTCCCACGAGGATCAATGACCCCTGGATTTGGCAAACCTGAAAACTGGGGAGTCACCAAAGTCTGCCAAGGAAAGATAAAAAGCAGTGAAAAGTGACCCTCAGTGGCGCCCTCTTGATCTCCAACTTGACCAGCACCCGACCTGTCCAGCCAGAAGGACCAGCCGGTGACCCCCTTCTGGAGGATAACACCGCGCTGGAAGAAGCCTCGACTGGCCATCGACGGCAGACTCCAGCGCCTGTGGGATAGGTATACCCGACTCTTGTAGCTCGCTACTGTGTGTGTGCATGTGTGTGTGGGGGTGGGACGGACCAGCCCCAAGGTTTATGATTTGACTTCATTACAGTGTTTCAATCTGCCTAATAAACCAGAATTTTAAGGATCCCGAGTTGGACATTTGTAGCCAACAAACCAATGTTAAAGATTACACTTGTGAGTACCAGCAGACACAATTAACACATGTGGAACCTCTGAAGAATCTCAGTCTGGCACAGAAGGAGACACTATACTGCTTATTTAAGCAATTTCTCCTTTGTGCATCTTACCACTAGCCTTTACCTGTGTTGTTGTTACGTGTCATCTACTTATCTTTTCAAAATTAAAGTGGAAATAGCATGGGATGGCTTCTGGCACTGTGGTGACCACTAAGAAGGATGGGTTGTGGTTAATTCCTGGATCAGATCAAGCACAAGGACATGACGAGCAGGCTCCCTACTTGGCTGGCTTGCCATATCCTTTCCACTTGACCAGATATATGAGCTTCCTCCAACCAGGGGCAAGAATGTTTTCACATACATCATTCTCAAGGCCCTTGAACAGCGATCAACATGGGCAGAGAGTTCGATCATGCCAGAAACAAACTGTCTTGACTTTAATAATGAGATCTGAAAAATCAGGTACAGTTTCATAGATTTCATAGATTTCACAGACATTCGGGCTGGAAGGGACCTCGGAAGATCATCGAGTCCAGCCCCCCGCCCAAAGGGCAGGAAGTCAGCTGGGGTCATAGGATCCCAGCAAGATAAGCATCCAGTTTCATCTTGAAGGTGCTCAACGAAGGCGCTTGAACCACCTCCGGTGGCAGGCTGTTCCAGACCTCGGGGGCTTGGACAGTAAAGAAATTCTTCCTTATGTCCAGCCTGAAACGATCTTGAAGTAGTTTGTGACCATTCGACCTCGTCATCCCTTGGGGCGCTCTGGTGAACAAACGTTCCCCCAGATGCTGGTGGTCACCCCTGATAAACTTGTAGGTGGCCATCAGATCACCCCTGAGCCTGCGCTTTTCCAGGCTAAAGAGCCCCAGGGCTCTCAGCCTGTCATCGTAGGGTCTGCTTCCCTGACCTCTGATCATGCACGTGGCTCTTCTCTGGACTCTCTCAAGCTTCTCCACATCCTTTTTGAATTGTGGAGCCCAAAACTGGAAGCA